GCAATCCTTCTGCCTCAGCCTCCTGAGTAGCTGGGACTACAGGCGTACACCACCAAACCTGACTAACTTTTCTGATTTTTTTTTTTTTTTGAGTTGGAGTCTCACTCTGTTGCCCAGACTGGAGTGCAGCGGCCGCTCCCGGCCACCGCAGCCTCGACCTGCTGGGCTCCGGCGATCCTTCTGCCTCAGCCTTCCAAGTAGCCGGAATTACAGGCATGCACTACCACACCAGGCTGATTTTTTGATTTATTGTAGAGATGAGGTCTCGCTGCCCAGGCGGGTCTCGAACCCGCGGGCTCAGGCCATCCACTCATCTCAGCATCCCAAAGACGCGGGATCACAGGCTGAACTGATTTTTTTCTTGCTATGTTTCCCAAGGCCGGTCCCCAACTCCTGGCCTCAAGCAATCTTCCCACCTCGGCCTCCCGAAGTGCTGAGATTACAGGTGTGAGCCACTGCACCCAGCCTGAAATTCTATCTCTTCTTAAGATTTTGTTATGTTTATCTTGCCAGTTACTTAATTCCAGAGGGTGGAGGGGGTGTCTGTCTTTCCATTGCTATTTGTCACTTTTCACCATCACCTCTTCTGTCCTAGCTAAAATGTTCTAGACACAACTTCATGACTGCTCAGGGTTCTTACTTCAGGAAGACATCACTTGAAACATTTGGTTCTTGGGTGGAAGAGCAACTGAGGCCATGAATTTACTTGTATAGTTCCCATTTCACTGTCTCTCACTCCATTTTTTTTTTTTTTTTTTTTTTGAGTTGGAGTCTCATTCCTTTGCCCAGGCTGGAGTGCAGTGGCACACTCACAGCCACCCCAACGTCAACCAGCTGGGCTCTGGCGATCCTTCCGCCTCAGCTTTCCAAGTAGCAGAAATTGCAGGCGTGTGCCACCACACCCAGCTAATTTTTTGATTTATTGTAGAGTTGAGGTCTCGCCAAGTTGCCCAGGCTGGTCTTGAACCCTGGGCTCAGGCAATCCCCTCTCCTCAACCTCCCAAAGTGCTGGGATGACAGGCATGAGCCCCGCTCCCAGCCTTATTCTTAAGTACTTACTTGGAAATGCACAGAACACTATCTACCAAACCCCAGCAAATATTGATATAGGCAAACTCGTCTAAACTGAGCATTGATGTTTAGGAAGAAGCTTTGAGAATTATCCAAATTAACCACTCGTGTTTCCCAGAAATAAGTCTGTTGTCAATGCTTCCCCCATGTGGAACTCTACAAAAGCATGTGCTATTCTTTGAAGGAGAAGCCCAGAAAACCAGCTTACCTCCCGGGGTGTATGGGAGAGGGATCCCAAAATCCCAAGCTATTTAGAAGATCTAGGAGTGACCAGGACTTCTCTGTCTTGATAACAAAGCAAAAAAAAGGGGAGGGGTGTGACTTAGCTTGTCTTACAAAAGTGTTCATAGAAGTCATCTATATGCTACCACCTTGCATCATTATGGCAAAGCCTTAGGGATTATTCACATCATTAAAGACATCAAGTTAAATTATTTGATTGCAACACTACCCTCTTGTTCATAGTCTCACAGTCTTTATACTTGGTTGCTTATATGGTTGGATTATCACTACCAGATTTCAGGGTAAGATGGAAGAAGAATACTGGCCTGAGGGCAGAGGCAATGGCAGTGAACATGACCAATAGCTCCACTTCCTATTGAGTCAGCTTGTAAAACCTTGGGCAATGATGGCAGAAGAGCTGTCTCCTAAAGTATTGTGTTGATAACTTTTTTTTTGTAGTCAGTGTTTCATTCCACCACCCAGGCTGGAGTGCAGTGGCATGTTCACACGGCCATCCCAGAGTCAACCTGCTGGGCTCCAGCGATCCTTCTACCTCAACCTTCCAAGTAGCTGGAACTATAGGCACGCGCTACCATGCCCAGCTAATTTTTTATTTATTGTAGTGATGGGGTCTTGCCAAGTTGCTCAGGCTGGTCTCAAACCTGTGGGCTCAGGCAATCCACTCGCCTCAGCCTCCCAAAGTGCTGGGATTACAGGCTGAGCCACCGAGCCCAGCCTATTGATAACTTTTTAATAGTCTCCTTGGACATCAGCTTGTAGTTTAGTTTCTGATCCTCTTTGTATTGCAAAATCCATGGTTTTGTTACATAGTATATTACCAAAAATGTGTACAAATGTGTTGAGTATGCAGAAGTGGAATACATTTATGTTATAAACTAGTGGTTCTGTTTCTAGAGAGTGAAGAATTTCACCTCCTCATTAGAGACATTCTTTGATAACATAGTCCCAGTGTTTCTTCCAGATTCTTTCATTTTCTTCTTTTTCATATAACCAACCCGCCTGGCTGTTCAATGAGCACCTAGGATGTAAGACCCGCCCATTTTGACTTGCCCTCCCAACCGGTTCCATCCATGTCTCGAGTGTATCACATTCATGAAAGCCAGCCTTCTCCATCAGCACTTTCTGTTTTATGTTTTCTCCTTATTTTCATACAAGAATACAATGCAATAAAATATTCATATATTACACAAACAGTGATGTGCATACAAAGATATTAACACCACTGGCTGCTAGTAGATTTTGCCATGTTATTGATCGAAATGCTTGTTCATCAGAGAATGTACAAAATTCTAAATTAGCATCCAGAAGGAGGTTTGGAGAGATTGATTGTTTAAAAAAAAAAAGTGTTGCTTTTATCAAAATTAAATTTCCATAAGATGGGGACTGTCTCTACATAACAGGAAGGACAGTCATACTAGCATTGTCACTTCTTATTCTCCTTGTCTCACATTCCCCCATTTTTCTCAAATAAGTGACAAGGAGAGTAAAGGGACCATTGAAGGAACACTTGCAGAATGGTTACTGTGCACCAGGCCCCGTACAAGGTAATTTGCACAGACACACCCATGACAGACATGGCCAATAGTGTATCTTATGTCAAAAACAAAAAAGAACCCAAGACTGCAGAAGCTGTCAGCTTCACTAAGAGTCCTTGTTTGCTGGACTGAGGAATGAGATTGAGAAAGAAACTTTCATCATTAGAAAAGGACCCAATAAAACTGCGCTTAAATGAATCATTAACAATGTGGCTTTTATATATCTGTGTGGGCTACAGAATAATTTCATGGGGAACAACCAGACTTCTGATATTTTTTAAAGACAATTCTGATACTAATTTTACTGTTATGCTTAGACATCATTAAGAATTCATCTTTGGGCAACCCCCTCGGGTCTTCTCCCACTGTGGGAGCTTTTCTGTCCCCTTAATAAATCCTGCTTTCAAAAAAAAAAAAAAATCTCATCTTTGAAGGGAAGGCAAATTTACATGCCAGGGACTCAAATTCATGACATATTTTAGGATCTACGTTCTCTGCACAAATGGACTTACTGAGTCTAGTGGTAAAAAGTGAGTAAGAAGATAACTACAGAGCCGGGCTCGGTGGCTCAGCCTGTAATCCCACGCCTTTGGGAAGCTGAGGTGAGTGGATTGCCTGAGCCTGCGGGTTCGAGACCCGCCTGGGCAGCAAGACCTCATCTCTACAATAAATCAAAAAAAAAAAAAAAAATCAGCCTGGCATGGTAGCGCATGCCTGTAATTCAGGCTAATCGGAAGGTTGAGGCGGAAGGATCGCCGGAGCCCAGCAGGTCGAGGCTGCGGTGGCCGGGAGCGGCCACTGCACTCCAGTCTGGGCAACAGAGTGAGACTCCAACTCAAAAAAAATAAAAATAAAAAAATAACTACAGTCATACCTCAGTACCCATGGGGGATGGCTTGCAGGATCCCCCCAATACCAAAATCCATGAATGCTTAAGTCTCTTACATAAAATGGTGTTGTATTTGCTGTAACCTACACACATGCTCTTGTATACTTTAAATTATCATGAGATACCTTATAACACCTAATACAGCGCGCACACATCACTTAATCACAGGAATCAACAGAGTACTTGGTGAGTAGCAGCAAATTCAAGTTTTGCTTTTAGAAATTTTGTGGCATTTTTTTCTTCTGAATATTTATGACCCGAGGTTGGGTGAATTCACAGATACAGACCCATGGATACAGCAGTCAGACTGTATTTCTATTTTAGGTTCATTTTTTTCCTCTTCAGATCCCTCAGCAAAGAAAAAGTCAGGGATCTTCCTCTCTCCCTATGACCAGAACTAAGATCTAAAAGAGATATGACAATCAGTGGGGTTCCCGGTAACCCAGGCATCTGGTTCCCACCCATTTTTAGATGTTCTTTGGAAACATAACTGTTTAGAAACCGTACTGTTGGAAAGAAAAAAAATACTTGGTAGCCCCGTATCTGGGAGATAAGGAAGAAGGATACTTCTGTCACTGATGAATTTCTACATCTGGACACTTCTCGAGGGAGAGAAAGCCTCGTTATTTGGAGACGGAAACTGGTACCTCGAATCAGCAGGTCTAGATTGAACCCACCTTCTCTGTCCATCCAAGCACTCTTGGTCCAGACTTTTGTGGAACCTCAGATCTGCCTCCTATGTAAGAGGAGTTAGTACCAATCCCTCTGTAAAGTCTTTTTCAGTTTGTATGGGACCAGTCCTAGCCCTCAATTGCCCTCCTGAATATACAGAAAAGAAGAAGAATTATTTTAAAATTAGGCCGATTCTTACTTGAATACTATACGGCTTATAACCACTTCTAGAAGTCAGGCTGGACAAACTAATACATAAGGACTCATATAAGTGCATTTCGGTAAAGTCACTTGAGAAATACATTAGCAATCTTTTTAGGCTTCTAACATGGCAAATTAGAGGTACGCATTCTAATGATGTCTTCATCCTTTTGGCAAACAAGTGTATGGATCAAGACACTCGGCGATGGTGAACACGGTGCTTGGCTTTCACTTCTTCATGCCTGAATGAAGTCTTCAAGTCAGGCCCAAACCAGCAGGGCTGCAGGCAGTATCAGCAGCTTGCGTGGATCTCAGCAGTCAGGCCTCAGAACTCTACAAGAAGATGTCATGAACAGGCTGGAAACGGCAAGCCTCAGAGTCTGAAGGAAGCAGGTGTTAGGAGGCGGGCTCAGCGACCTCTGGGTGGAACGGGCGGAGGAGGATGGGTGGTCTCCCTTGTTGGAGGCCTGAAATGAAAGATAAAGCAAGTCTACTGAAAAGCCAAGTCGATGGACAGTTCCTGGTATACTGTGCAGAGGTCACAGTTCTCAATGAATGAGATGGATATGAGCACACACGAACGTCTGAGTGACATGCATGCTAGCTGTGGTCACAATTCAGGTTGCACATTAGATCGTCAGGGCAGCTTTTATTTTTTATTTTATTTTATTTTTTGAGTTGGAGTCTCACTCTGCTGCCCAGGCTGGAGTGCAGTGGCAGGCTCACGGCCACCGCAGCCTCCACCTGCTGGGCTCAGGTGATCCTTTCACCTCAGCCTTCCAAGTAGCTGGAACTACAGGCGTATGCCACCATGCCCTGCTAAGTTTTCTTGGTTTATTGTAGAGACGAGGTCTTGCCAAGTTGCCCAGGTGGGTCTCGAACCCATGGGCTCAGGCAATCCTCTCACCTCGGCCTTCCTAAGTGCTGAGATGATAGGCGTGCCACCACGCCTGGTCCAGGGAAGCTTTTAAAAATGACAAGTCCCAGGCTCCGACCCAGATCCACTCGGTTATAACCTCTAGAGGCCAGGGCTCAAGCATCAACATTTTCATAGTGCCCTCCCCCAGCCAGCTGTATTAACCAAGACTTTCTCTTCTGATGTTTTGCCCTCTTGAGGTCTTGCTTATGGAGGGCTGGGGTGGGAAACCTGAGAGCCACAGCCTGGCTATTTAAATCCACCTCACAGAGACTGGCATCCTTTCTGGGCCACATGCACTGCCCAGGGAAGGAAGACTGGCTAGGCCGGGTTTTGCTGTCTCTCTCTCCTAGAGAGACCACCCTGCTGGTAAGCCAGTTCCTAGAGACAGCGGACAAGCCATCTGCCTGTGAGCACCAGTATGCCTCTCAGAGGCAAACCTGTCAAACTAGATTCGTGCCCCAACCACTGCCTTTCTGGGGGTCTCACACTCAGAGCCTCTACCCGCCCGCCCTATCACCCCAGGGCCAGGTATCCGATGAGTAGGGATGCCCCCTGTGCCCCAGAGCCAATGAAATTACCCAAAGTAGCCAATCCCAAGCCTGCTCCCCTCTGCCTCGCCTGTTTCTTTCCATGGAAATCACAGTAAAAGTTTTGGCAAGGTTTTCCCCTCTTTCCTCTGTCTCCTGGCTGGCCTAGGCGCTTCCCCGTGTGTCCCCAGGCCCCCTTCCTGGGATCTGTGCATATGACAACCTCTTCAATGGCAGTTGGCTCCTGATCTGTTGACCTGGCCCTACCTAAGTGAGAATCAACCCCAGCTTCAAAAACACCAGCGATTCTAGTGGCAACTATGCGGAGACCCCGCGGGAGGGAGGTCTGTGGAGAGAAAAGCCGAGAATTTCCCAAGGCTGCTCCTAACGACCTCCTCAGGGGACCCCTCAGTGTCATCCCAACCCTGCCTTCACCTTCCTAGAAACTTCCATGTTATTCTGGGTGGTTTGGGACAGTCCTGAATGACATTCCAGGTGGACTAGGGTGAGTCTGTTTACAGATAGGTTCAACGATTACAGATGGCGTTTCCACCTGTGAGCTGTAAAGCCAATATTTAATTCTCTTGGAAACAAGCCAATAAGTCAAGAAAGAGCTTTGTCAGCTGTCAGGGAAGGCGCTACCCGAGCTGCATACAAGAGGGCTGAATGAAACGGCGAGTAAATATTTACTGACGGTCCCTCGAATGCAAGTTTTGTGGAGGTCAAGGAAATGACAACAGAGTTGGGGGAAGAGGGACTGTCTCCGGAGCAAAGAGGGAGGCAGAAGTTGAGAAGAGTAAGCACAGGCAACCCAGGAGGCTGGCCTGGGCCTGGGAGGAGGCGGCTGTGTGTGATTGTCCCTGAGAGGCTGAGCTTCATTCAGCGCGACAGATGGGCCATCTCCTCCCTCAGCCGACCTGGTGGGCTCATGGGAGACAGCGGAAGGACAGTCGGGTGAGGCCCATGCTACCCGTGCACACCTGACTGTTCTCATCCGCCACGCAGGGGAATGACACCCGCGGTAGGACACCGTGTGCGGCTTGGAGATGCCAGCGGGAAAGAGGGCGGCAGGGTTTCTGGCTCAGAGGGGGCGCCTGAGACACACAGTTAATCACGATCTTGTGTGATGAAAGGCCAAGTCCAAGGTCTGTTCCCTCTGCAGGCCCCACGTGCCTGGCATTCCATCTTCCCAGGCCAAGACACCCATGGCTCCCGCCCCGGCCCTCCTCTTCCTGCGGTGGGCCAGGCGAGCCCACAAGCAGACCATCCCTGGCTTCCTCCTGATGAGCCACTCGGGCTGAAGTGCGGAAACCCCATCTCAGGGAAACGGATTTGTGGTTATAGAACTGTCAGAACTGGGGCGGTCAAGGTATTCAGTCAGACTCAAGGGTGGCTGTGGAGGGATGGCGTCTCCAGGACCCTGGGAGGCAGGAGCCGGAGGGGAGGAGGCGTTTAGGAGGGTATGGGCAGAGAAGAGTTGCCACTTCCCAGCTCGGAGAGTGGGCATAGGGACGCCCAGGGCAGCCACCCCTCCTGTCATCAGGTCGCCTGTCAAAGCCATTCAGGAGAGAGGCCCATTTTATTTTCTCCCCAAAGATCTCCTGGTTTTATTTTTATTATTATTCGCGCGGGATTACAGGCTGAGCCACCGATTTTTTAAATTTTTTTTTTTAGTTGGAGTCTCACTCTGTCGCCCAGATTGGAGTGCAGTGGCCGCTCTTGACCACTGCAACCTAGACCTGCTGGGTTCTGGCGATCCTTCCACCTCAGCCTTCCGAGTAGCTGAACTACAGGCACGCGCTACCACGCCCGGCTAATTTTTTGATTTGTTGTAGAGACGAGGTCTCACCAAGTTGCCCAGGTGGGCCTCGAACCTGCGGGCCCAAGCAATCCACTCACCTCAGCTCCGAAGGCGCGGGATTACAGGCTGAGCCACCAAGCCCGACTGATCTCCTGGTTTTATAATGAAATTTGCATACACACCTACCAAACAACAGTAGACTTACACATCCTTTTTCCACACCAAAAATGCACCTAAGCCCCACGCCTACCAGTTACAGACTTCTTGGCAAGCACTGTTTCTTTAGCAAAAAGTGTTTTCCGCCTTTTCTCTCCCATCTCTATCTCCACACGTCTCTCGACTCCCCAAATAATTCATCCGCCATGTCTTTTCACACGTTTAAACACATCCCAGTTTCTGCCCGTTAGTTTCTGGAACCCGTTCTCCCCTGGGTGTTCTCTTTTTCAGGAAACAAAATTCCCCAAAATCTTTGTAGCTTGTTTCAAGCTTGGCAACTCTCTTATCTTGGGATGATTAGACGACTGTCTCCGAAGTCCTCAACCTTGGAGAGTAAAAGGTCTTGGCTCCTGAACCTCGTCGTCTGACACCTAGAGTTTCCTGACAGGGTCTGGGAGTCAGCCGTACCCAGGTTTGCCACACACAACAAGTCTCAAGTTTCCACATCTGCAAAATGGGTTGATACTAAATTCTGACCTCTCAGGGTTGTGGAGAGACTTGAACAAGATAATGCATTTGGTGTGTTTAACATAATGCCTGCCACCTTGTGAGCGCTCAATAAATGATAGCATATGTTACCATAACCACGCTTGGTCAGATCCTCGCTCCAATCACCATCTGTATAATAATTTTCAAGCAACAGCGCATAATGCAGAGCAGGGGATTGGACTAGATCATCACGAAGGTTCCTTCCGGGGCAGACATTCTAATTCAGGCCCTCTAGTCTACACCAGGGAGACATGGCCGGTGAGTGTGGTGCGGCTGGGACTGGGGTCTGTTTGGGTCGCGAGTGCCAGACACAGACATTGAACTGGAAAGAGCCTGAGCACAGATCAGCCTCTCTTTCCAGAAAACCAGAAGAAAGGCTTCCTTGTTGCACTTTCTCAACCAATTCCTCTGATGAGCTCCATCTAAGTTAAATGTTTCAAAATGCAAAAGAAACCCCTGGAGGAAGAAAAGCTGCCTGCTTCCTGATCCTCTGGACCCCCCATGTGCACAAGCCTGGGCTTTTCTTCCCAAGGGCTCCTTTCTGCATGGACAGACACACGAGCTCGCTGGGACTGCTTTTTCTGCTACTTCACAACCCATAACAAAGGTGCCTACCCGAGGCCCATGTACCATATAAACAAAGACGAACATCAGAGCCCAGTAAGTCAGTCACGCTCCTGAGTCTCACGCCCATCTCTAAATCGGCACGTGTCTGTTCCTCTCCTGAATCAGAAAATCGCTTCTATTGCTAAGCTCTTACTACAGGCCAAGAACTCGATCTCGTGACTCTGCGAAGACGTTCTATTATCCCCATTTTATAGACAAGGAAATTGAGGCCCATGAAAGGTAAATAATTCACGCAAGTTTGCAGTGGCTGCCAGAGACGTGACTCCAGGGACATTACACCAGGCTCCCAACCACCAGATAAAGCCTCATCTCACCCACATGTTCGTGTCCAATCCCTCTTATTGCCTGTTCCCCAAAGGCGCTATCCCCACAGGACAGCCAAGGGGATAGTTACTAGGAAGCTGAGTTCTAACCAATCTGATCAAAAGTATCCAAAGGGTTGACATTGATCAATGCATTTCCTGTATGCAATATTGCATCTGCTATCCAAAGTATTTGTGTCACTTAAACGAAAGAAGCAGCCGGGCTCGGTGGCTCAGCCTGTAATCCCGCGCTTTGGGAGGCCGAGGTGAGTGGATTGCCTGAGCCCGCGGGTTCAAGACCCGCCTGGGCAACTTGACGAGACCTCATCTCTACAATAAATCAAAAAATTAGCTGGACGTGGTAGAGCGTGCCTGTAGTTCCAGCTACTCGGAAGGCTAAGGCGGAAAGATCACCGGAGCCCAGCAGGTCGAGGCTGTGGTGGCCGGGAGTGGCCACTGCACTCAGTCTGGGTGACAGAGTGAGACTCCAACTCAAAAAACAAAAACGAAAGAAGCATCCACACTGAATGTGGTCAGCGCGAGACATTATGAGGCCGTCTTGGATGTTCCCAAACCCTACTCTCCCCTGGAATTCAGAGAAAGAGGAAAACGTTTCACATCGGCATCCACTTTACCTCTGCGAGGCGGCTCTCGGCGGCACCCGGGGCGGCCTCTCCAGGGACGCGGTGGGGGTTCCGTCCACTTGAGGTGGGGCTGGACTGCGACTTCTGGTGACCTCGGAGACTTCATTATCCTCCAGCAAAGAAGAAGAGAAAGAAAGGTGAAAATTACAGTCAGCAACCAGCACGGCCGGACACTCATCTCCCAAAGCCCCTCAGCCCTCCTGAGGCTTTGGCTGAAGCTTGCTCACAGACTGGCCATCAACCTAAAGCCACTGAGGAAGACAATTGCCATTAACTATTAGCATTAATGCAGCATCATGGCTACTCAAGGTATGAGCTGGCCGTCAACCCCAGCATCACTTGGGAGCCTGGTAGAAATGCCCACCCGAGGGCCCTTCTCCTGCTTGTCCCGGCCACCGGCCCCTGGATCAGGGTAGACAGGTGACTCAAATGAGGACAACCCAGAAGGGGCCTTAACCTGAAACTGACTCTGGTCCGAGGCCTCGTGGCTCTCGGGAGACTGTGCCGCGACACACGCGGAGAGGCAGGAAAGGGCAGTGTTGTAGGGAAGGAGAAAGAAGATATTCACAGAGCAGAGGGGACCAGAGAGCTTTTGGCCCTGGGACACACGAAACAGTGACCGTGGCTCTGTTGGGCAAGTCTCACCACTCCTAGTCCAAGCCCAGAGTGTGATCCCTGTTCCAGATCCCCTGAGATGCACCCAGCTCTTTCCACAAGTGCTTCTTTTGGCTTAAAAGTAGTCTGAAAGTATTTCTATCTGTCCACCTCCCTCCCTGTCTCCCCCCCCCCTTCTTTTCTTTCTTTCTATTCACTGAGACAAAATTCATATCACAGAATTCGTCGTTTTAGGCCAGGTGTGGTGGCTCGCATCTGTAATCCCAACACTTTGAGAGGCTGGGGTGGGAGGACTGCTTTAGGCCAAGAGACCAGCCTGGGCAACGTAGCGAGGCCTCGGCTCTACAAAAAAATTTAAAAATTAGTCAAGTGTGGTGGTGCACACCTGTAGTCTCAGCTACTTTGGAAACTGAGGTGGGAGGATCGCTTGAGCCCAGGAGTTGGAGGCTGCAGTGAGCTATGATTGCACCACTGCACTCCAGCCTGGGCAACAGAATGAGGCCCCCGTCGCTAACAAAATACAATTTAAAAAAACACACACATTTTCAAGCGAGTGCTTCTTTGGCATTGAGTATGTTCATACTGTTTTGCCACCAGCGTCCCAAGAGGAGACCTGGTTCCCATTAAAGGAGTCTCTTCCCATCCCCCTCCCTCCCTCCCTCCCTCCAGCTCCTGGCGACTCCCAATCTGAATGCTGTCACCAGGGATTTGCCCATTCTGGGCATTTCAGATAGATGGTGACTTTCCTTATTTTTTTTTTTTTTGAGTCAGAGTCTCACTCTGTCACCCAGGCTGTAGCATAGTGGTATGATCATGGCTCACTGCAGCTTCGACTTCCAGGGCTCAGGCCATCCTTCCACCTCAGCCTCTCAAGTCACTGGGACTACAGGTGCAGGCCACCATGCCCAGCTAATTTTTTTTATTTTTTTGTAGCGATGAGGTCTCGCAATGTTGCCCAGGGTGGTCGAACCCCTGGACTCAAGAGATTCTCTCACCTCAGCCTCCCGAAGTGCTGGGATTATGGACGTGAGCCATCACACCCAGCCGAAACACAACCTTTGGTGTCTGGCTTCTTTCACCTGGATGTCTATCTCTTGCAATGAAAGACCCCTAGGATAAGACAGGTGAGGGTGGTGTCCCCGGCTCTCACCTCGTTGTCCCCCTCCATGCCACTGCTCACGCTGAGAAGGCTCCGGGTACTGGACCGGTTACTTGCGCTGCCTAAGGGGAGAGACAAAAATGAGCCAGACTGAGGATTTTCCCAGGCTAAAATACAACAGAGAACTGTAGCACGCACTTGCTTTTACTCCAAGGAACAGGACCTAAGCTGTGAATATGAGGCTCTCCAAGTGTGGCCATCTCATGCATGTCATTAGAGTACGGTTTTCTTTCAGCATAAGATGAAGTGGTTTGGCTTTGCCGCCACCATTTCCTGAGGGCTCATGTCATACTGAGTGCTTCAAAACGTGATTGGCCCCTATGAAAATCTGGTTTGGTATCAGTGCTCTGACTCGATGAACAAGGAAACAGAGGGGCTCCCGTCTTGCTTATTCAGTGCTATATCTAAAATCCGCAAGCTTGGGTCAGGCGCAGTGGCTCAAGCCTGTAATCCTAGCACTTTGGGAGGCCGAGGTGAGAGGATTGCCTGAGCGCAAGGGTTCGAGACCAGCCAGGGCAACTTGGCGAGACCTCATCTCTACAATAAATCAAAAAATTAGCTGGGTGTGGTGGCGCATGCCTGTAGTTCCAGCTACTCGGAAGGCTGAGGTGAAAGGATCGCCTGAATCCAGCAGGTTGAGGCTACGGTGCCCGGGAGCATGCCACTGCCCTCCAGCTTGGGTGATAGAGTGAGACTTCTGCTCAAAAAAATTAAAATAGCCGGGCTCGGTGGCTCAGCCTGTAATCCCGCGCCTTTGGGAGGCT